AAACTCAACTGTCTAATCTCTAGTCTCATTTTATTTTGTTCCAAAGAAAATTTAATTGTCGAACTCGACCCGTATGCCAAATTTATTCTGTCCTCCCCTATATACATATATATATATATATATATATGCATATGAATATACATTAACCTTTTTTACGAGTGATAGAAAAATTTTAAGTTCTTTTAATTGTTTTCAAATAAGAGGTCGAAATTTCTGTGAGATCCAAGGATATAAGTTTGCTACCTATATCACTTATGGACACACTATCGCAAGATTGGCTCACTAGCTTTATATAGGAGGGCTTTTTAATGTTTAAACAGTTATAGACGGTAAGATCTAAATCACGTCAGGATCTTTGACACCAGTTAATCAGATTTATATTACGCGAATTAACACGCGTATTGATTTCTGAAGGAGATGAGGTGATACATTTGATTCAGATAACTTAAGAGACATTACTTTAACATTAAAAACAAATATTTAATGAACAATAAAAAACAAGATTATACAAAATTAAATATTCGAATAAAGCTATTGATCGAGAGAGAGAGTTCACAATTTCGGTTAAAAATCATACTACCTCAGATCATGTTTTTTAATCATCTTCTTGAGATCTAGTTCTAGATTAATGTTCGTATCTTGGTCAATTCATCAATAGCATATCAATAAACATTTCTTCTCTATTTTTACCGACTTAATAACTCATTTTGTAGAAACGTCGTGATTCGGTTATGGGTGTTGACCGTCAGGAGACGATGTGGAATACGTCTGTCCTCCTTGGGAACTTCTTGCGTACTCCTCGAATAATTCAAAATTCTTTCTGTCTCTCATGAATTTTCCACGTGAACAGGAAATAGGGTAATTTTACTGAGGGGTTGACAGTTACCAGGGTGACTAAAATTTTTAAGAGATAAGGGAAAACAAAACGATGTCGTACTTCCGTTGAGAAGGAAGTGACTTTTACCTGTTTCCTTCATCTTTTTACTCACAATTCTTCCATTTAAAGCAGAAATATTATTTCAAAAAATTCACGTATTTTATCTCAATTTCTAATTAATTAGAGAGATGTCCAAAATCTGACATTTCACTGCCTCCCTATTAATTAAAAACTACAATCTGAAAACTATAATTTAAAATAGCTGAAATTAGTTTATTAAAGAGTAGAATTAAATGTTTAGAGTTGAATTTCTTCACAAAAAATAAATTTAGTCGTATAAAAGCATGTTAAATGTTTTCTATTGATTAATGGATTATATTTAAATATATTTAAACAAATAACGTCATTTTTATTTTATAAATAAATAATCCTCTATAAAAAAAAATTAAATAATAAGATTTAAAACACTTTTCTTAATGTGTTTTCAAAATAGCAAAAGAAAAAAAAAATAAAGTCATTTCAAACAAGCAATTATTTTTTATCTCATCGTCCAAATTCCAAAGTGCAATTTTTAAAAATATCATATATTTACTAAATTTAAAATGTATGCTGGCCATTTCAGAAGGGCTTCCCCTCTACATTATACTTTTCCTTTAACAAAATAGTCGTTTCGGTCATCTCTCAAACATCTTTAACAAGGAAATTTAAATTAGCATAACGTGAATTCCGGTTTTTACCGACTGTTCCTTTATACTATAGTTAATCGAAGTTTCATGCCCATAGCATCTCAAATCATTCATCTATCTAATTGCTTTTTCCACATTAAAGAATGACAAACAGTGGGAATTTACAGGTTTCCAATTTTTGCCAAATTGCAGCCCAATGAGTCGAATTTCTCTATATCTAAATATAGTTAATCTAACCAAAATCTTAAAACAGTAACATGGTTCCACGTATATTTACCTAATAAATTTTTTACACGTTTTCATAATTAAATTAAATTAAACCTCTTAAATATGTTTCACTCTGTCCAATCACGAAAAATGTTTGCTTACATATAACAGCATTCAATGAACCAAATGAGAACAGCAGAAACATAATAGTACTATATTTTATGACATAAAAATTTAATTTCATATACTTACAGGTTACATATATGAACACATATTTTCATACAAATTAAAAATTATAACATAAACCATTACAAAAATAAACTATTAATACACAACTTCTATGCAGTGGATAAATGCTTTAAAAAATACATTACAACAAAATTTTTCTGTGATAGTTTAAGCTGTAAATTTATATTTTAAATCAATAATTTGAGATATTGACAATAAAAGTCTATACATACAAATAACCGAGGAATTGAAAAACCGAGTTTGAATATTAGAAAATATTTACCTGATATATAATTAAAGGTTGAACGTCCATGTAAAAATTATAAGTGCTACGGAAACAGCAATCTTTTTGTCAACACAGCGGTATGTGTGTTGGGAACGCATACTTCCAACAACGGCTGATCCATAAAAAAAAACCTAGTGGTCACCAGAAAGATGTCAATGAGATACACTTTGTCTGCATTAGTAAAACGAGTAAGTTATGAATGCGAGATGTCAGGTTTAGAGAACTTTAAATATCGGATCTGACCATTACGTAGTAAATTAAAGCAAATATCTTGCTCAAACTTCTTAATCAAAGTAACCTCAAAGTGAAATGACCATTCGCGATAGAAAAATTAAATGATCCCAATCGTTACTGAAGAATTTACTCTGAAGTTACAAAATCACTTCTTTCTAGTTGGAGAGAAGTTATATCATCTTTCCAACTAAAAGAAATCTCACATACATTGTCACGGAATGTGTGCAAAATATCATTGGAAGACATTGAGAGATAGGAAAGAATCGGTGGATCGAAGATCGCTCGTGAAAACTAATTGATGAGAAAAAAGCCGCAAAGCTTAAAAGTGACCAGGGTAAAACAATGGCTGTGATGGAGAAAAAAAAAGCCAAAGATATGCCGATTTAAAAAGACGTGTAAAGATGAGTTAAAGACGTGTAAAGATGAGTTGTTGCAAAAGCAAGAAGGAAAGGTTGGAACGAAATGGCGGTGAAGCGCAGGAGGCTTTCGGTAGGAATGACTCCAAGACCCTATACCACATAGTCAATGATCTAACTGGGATGATGACTGCGTTGGAATAAAAAATAAAAACGAGAAGTTTCCAATCGCTCAAGATAAGCAAAAAAAAGGTGGATGGAATATTTCCAGGAATCATTTAATCAAACAGAACCAATCGTCTCAAACGATTTTGATATTGAGCATACAGAGCATGAGCTGCGGGGTGGACACTAGTAATTATGTTTGAAGAAGTGAAGTTTGCGACCGAGAGCCTAAAGGATAATTGGGCAGCCGGTTTGGACGAAATTACAGCTGGCATTTTGAAGCACTGAAAGCAGCCCATGTTGGACAACTTAACGCTATTGTTAACAGATGTTGAAAATGAAGGTAAGATCCAGAGGATTGCAGAAAGGCACTATAATCAAGTTTCTTAAGAGAAAATATGTAACCGAGTGTAGGAACTGACAAGGTATCACCCTCCTTTCTGTGCCTGTGTAGGCATTTTTTGCGGTCTTCCTTCGACTTTTACGGACTGCCTTCGATCAGTGATTGCGGGAGAATCAAGCTGAGTTTCACTTCGGAAAGATCGTGTAGCCAGCAGAACTTCGCCCTTAGAAATATAATCAAACAATGCCTTGAGTACGAACACTCATTCTTGTTCAATTTCGTTGGATTAAGGAAGGATTTTGACAGTGTTCACCGAGAGTTCCTCTGGTGAATCCAGCGAGTGTAACGTGTACTGGGAAACTTTTTCACTATTTTCAAGACCTTATGTTTGCATTTAAGTACAGTCGACCCCCGTATAAGATCATTGATTATTCCGTTTTATATGAATTCCATGTTGTACAAGTCACTTAAATTTTACAAATACGTGAGCCGTTCACAGCCCGGTACACGTATTTGTAAAATCTAAGTGACTCGTACAACATGGAATTCATATAAAACGGAATAATCAATGATCTTATACGGGAGTCGACTGTAGTTGCGTCAAGACTGACAACGGCAGTATCGACTTAAAAATTACGACTGGAGTCAGGAAGAGTTCTGATCTGTTGCCTTACCTCTATCTTGTCGCCCTCGATTACGTTATGCGACAGGAAGATGATCCCAGTGCACGTATAAAAACTGGCATCCACTGGTATGACCAAAATCGTATTAGATATTTTGTTTTAGTTGTCGATATTGACCTATTAGAGAAAATTGGGACAGTGGTACATCAAGCCATAGCCACATTAATTCGGGTAGCAGAAAAAATTGGCTTTACAATAAATGCTGCGAAGACGAAATTATGCATGTATATAACTCTGCCCAAATGCAAAGACTTGTTGTCAAAGCGCAACAATTAGAAAAAGTCGAGAGTTACATTTACGTGTGTAGTGTTATTTTCCAGTATGGTAAGGCGAAAGTAGATATGAAATGCAGCACTGGAAGGGCAGCGACCGTCTTCTGTTTGATGAACAAGATCGGATCCAACTTCCATCTCCTTGAAAACGAAAAAACCGTTTGTTTACCGCCATCGTGATTTCGGTAGCTATTTATGCTAATGAGTCCTATGAGGTTCAGGAAACACCAATAAAAAGCTAGATGTATTCCTCATTGAAGCTTACGACGAATTCTAAGAAAATTATTTAGATCATATCACCAGTGAAAAATCCTTGAAAAATGTGTAAAATTCATAGCATTATCGCTTCATAAAGAGTACGACTTGCCGACCAAATTTTTAGTACGAAGTATAATCGGATTGCTAATGCAGCCATGAAATTGGTTTCCCTGGTGACAAACGACCAAGAGAAGCTCTCAAGTATATTTTACATAATAGGAAGCTGAGGCCCTATCCAGAGATCTAAACTGATGGAATATAATTGCTGCAAAGTATGCTACTTAGCATTGGAGGAACTATTACTGTTACTACCACTACTACACACAAATATCACCTTTAACCTATTTACCTATAATTTTTGTAAAATAGTATGAGATGAAGATTTCCTACTTGACAACAAATTAATCACTTATTGAAAATAGCATAAATGATAGAAAGAATAACAGGAATAAAAAGCAAAGCATGAAAAGCCGTTTCCATAGCAACAAGTATTACAATTTTCGCAAATGTGCAAAGAAAATATACATCAGAATATAAAATCAATATTCCTATTCCCGTGGTCAATGATCCTTGAAGTATTGGAAAACCAATACGATACAAAGAATCTTTTAGTTTTTCGTTTGGTGTTTCGCATTGTGACATGACATATGCGTACGAAATATGAGCAGGATAATTCAAGCTGAATCCCACACACAGAATAAGACTCATCATTGATATAATATCCAAGTTCACTTTCCAAAACGACATATAACCTAATGTTTCTACCATTGCAGATACGACAGATATTGCAACAGTAATTGCAACTAATAAATTCGGTACAAACAATAGAAATACTGCTGTTATCAATATAGCAGTAATCCAAAACAATTGTGGAACCATTTCTCCAATGATGATTCCTTGCTCGATAAGACCTGACATAATACAATGCACAAGTACAGGAATGTCGGATTCGTCAGCAATTTGTAATAAATCTCTTAATGTATCTCTTTCCGAATATGAAGAATTCAAATTTTTTCCCATAATAAAAAATCTACTGAACAAGATGTCAGTTTTGTTCTTATTAAAGACGATGTCATTAGACAGTGGTTGAGCAGCTCGGATATTAAAGAACACATCGCGAAGTCCATCGATAAAGTCCTGCTTGTTTGACATATTGTAGCCTTGTAATGAAAATTTTGCTACGGGACTTTTCTGAAATTCTTTGTAGAATTTCAACCAAGACACAGTGAATTCTTCCCTAGCGATATTTGGATGTTTCTCGAATTTTGTCAACAGATTTTCTATCGATTTTTGTACATTTATATCTGAGTAATCCAACGTTTCATTAATAATTATCTGAAACGGATATGAATAACGTCTAAAGTACTTTAGATTAATACCGTAACCTTCTGTAATTAGAGAGTCTTTTGCAAATAAACGTTCATACTTAATACCATGTTCCATGTGAAATGTGCCCCATATTCCGAATGATAAGTTAATGATGTATATTATTATTATACTTATCTTCACTATCGGATTACAAATTATTTTTCCTAATGAATCTCTAAAACGTGCCATAGTAAATTCTTCTTCTTCGGCGTTATTATTCTGGTTATCTTCATCATTTTGTTCTAAAATAAAAGTTTGAAATTTATATATGCTCAAAAGTAATTTAACCGTTATATAAGTTTTAAACATATTTTAAAGTAAATGTGATACCTTCTTAATGTAAATGTAAAACGTGCCATAGTAAATTCTTCTTCTTCGGCGTTATTATTCTGGTTATCTTCATCATTTTGTTCTAAAATAAAAGTTTGAAATTTATATATGAACTAAAATATACTGTAAAAACAGAAATATTATTATAAAGTTTATTATCCTGTTCAACTAAATTTTCAAAAGGTAGTAAAGTAAAAAATTATGGTTCAAGCTGATATTTCTACGTAGAATTAGTTGAAGGTGATGACGTAGACCGATCTTGTGTCAACTGGAGAATATAGCAAAAAACTGGTATTTGTTTCTTATTTAAATCGAACAATTATTTTTTATTTAGCAACAAATTGTAATGGAACGAAACCAAAGTTATTTTGTTATTATTTTAGTTTTTTAATAAACGAGTACAAAGCCTGCATTGCAGTAAAGCACTTTTCTTAATGTATTGACCAATTATTAACATATAGTTATTTACACGTTTCCTTATGTTGATGTAAGACAAAATATTGAAAATTTTTGTGTTCGCGTGCGTGATGTAAAGTAAGCGTACTTATTTTTAAAAATAATTGTGTGTTGAGGTTTTAAAAATAAGTTTTAAAAAATAGGTGATAATTCGAATCACATGTTTCCGTGTTACAGGAAATTTTTAGACTTGTTACTTTGGGCATCCATGAAAACGGTTTGTCACTTCAACTCTAGGCTATATTTTGTTCTTTCAGCGATAGTGAAAACAGTTTACATTCGTAAGCGTGGTGTATCAGAGCTAAGTAATTCTAGGAACATTTATAAACGGCAAAAAAATAATACCAATTTTCAATACAGTACAATGTTTCTTAATTTAATCTCTCAGAGAAATTTCTTACGCTTTAGTCCCATTTTTTAAAGGTTCGTGTTATGGATTTTTATTTGTGTTATTGTCTAGGAAAAAGAATCATATTATTGCAAAAGTGCTATGAAAAAATTTAGTAAATTCACGTAAACATCTCTGTTGGCATGAAAAAGAAGCATGTTTCATACCTGTAGATAGAGCTTTAATTAAAATTTTATAACACGAAAACAGAGGAATACATCGAAGTACACCGTAATCATATTAAGATAAAAATAACAAAAACATTTTTTACAGTAGTATAACTACTGTGAAAAGTTTGTAAATAATTATGTTTTTTAATAATATTTTTCAAAGCTTTTTAGCAGATCGAAAAATGGTTTTCTCTTCAGAAAGTGAAATCTGTTAACCATTTAAAAAAGAAGTACCGAAAGTGTCATAATTTTGATAGATTATTGTTCTGCAATTCCTGAAACTTTCTTACTATCACGAACTGTCAGACATATTGCGACTACTCTGTTTTTATTTGTATACGCTGTTTGAATATATTTTTAATCGATTCAAGTATAACGAAAAGAACACTTATGAAATATGTGCCAAACTGGATACTAACATTGTATAGGTATTCATTACCACGCTTTCACTTATTAATTCACTTATTTAATCTCTGTATTGTTAAAATTTGATCATGTTATGATTTCTATTTGACCAACATTCCTAACAATAACGTACGATTAATCGTTTATTTGTTCATTTCCATTAATGTAATGTAAAGTACAAAAAAAAGGTTCAAAACTAATCTAGATACCTACGTTGAGAAATGAAACTTTTCAAACTGAATGTCGAAAGCAATATCAATGTAAAGAAAGAAATAAAAAATGAAACGAAAATCGACAGCAAATATATTCGTTTGTACTGTACAGTACATGTTTTGCATCATAGAAGTCAATGCAACATCATCGGCAAACACTGTCTACTAAAAACTACTGATTTTATTCAATTATTCGGTTTTCTTATCGTATATGTTACTTGTTAGAATAGACATTTTTCCACCACAAACATTTATATCAAGCAAAATCAATGTACGATTAAATATAATTTTTGTATTAATTAATTAATTATTTCTAGTATAATGTATAATGCGAAAGCTAATTAAAACAGTAACATTCTATATGTACTTCCAATGCAAGAATATGAACAAACTAAACTAAACTTATGTAAGAAAAAATTCAGGTAACAGATATTTTTAGTATAATTTAAATTATCTTTCAAACATCATCTTATATATCAAACATAAAATAATTAATTTAATTAAATGTTATCTTTCGTTATTAAAAAAATTTCAACTTACCACATCTGACAAATTTTCTAGAACAAAGATTCCGCTCTTCTCTATATCCACTCATAGCCAAGCATCCTCCGAAAAACGTTATCTGATATACAAAATTCAAAGCGACGCAAGTTGCAGTATAATAACTGAATATTCGAATGAAGGGAAATGGTGCCATCATTCCAATGCAATACGAGATGAAATTAGTGAGTGATGTCAAAGTAATGGAAACTCCTGCTTCTCCATATGTTACTTCCATGCGTTTTTCAACTGAATGTTTGGGATCAGTGATTCTCCAACATGCTATTAATACGAAAGCATCATCTATCTCGGTAACTGAAATACATGCAAAATTTGTAATATTGATATATCAGCGTTATCGCTAATGTACGTTTGCAGCAACATTGATATACTTACCAAGAACTAAGAATGGAATCGTAGCATTCCAGTAAGTGAATTCAACACCCGATGCAGCCATTAATCCAAAAGACGACGATACAGCCAGGCCAGCGTTAATCACACTTGCTAATCCTAGAAGAGGTTTACTTTTTACCCAGCTATTGCTCATATTGAGAAATATCGAAAGTACAATCATAATTGCGACCAAACCTCCAATTTTTGGTTTCGTTCTATCAAATTCTTTTCGAAACTCTTGTTCTATCATTGAAAGAGAACTTGGAACAGCTTTGATATACGTGAAATTATATTTTTGAATTTTGTCATAAACTTGATCTAACCATTTTGCAAATAATTTGATTTTTTCTTTATTTTTATCATCAGTTGCATATAATAACAGAATGGCATTTACTTTTTCTACGAAGTTGTGATAATCTTCTGTTACACCCCCTAAATTTGCAAAATAGGGTTTATAATTGAAAGACAACAAATCTATATCTACAGGGTATTTTAGCTTCTTTCTCTTTTGTAGTATGGAATCAATTCCCACTTCTGATATCACTTCGATAATAGGATTTTGAAAGCATTTTTTGTGTTTACGTGTGCAGAGATCTGTATATTGTATTGTCTTTCCGTCAGTTTCTAATTTTATATTATGTATGATTTCGTCGAACAATTTTACTTCTGAAAGTATATTTTTTTCAAACATGTTTCCTTCGTCTCTTTCCAACAGGTATATTTGCAGAGTATTTGGTAAATCAGGAGTTCTTAGCTGATCAGAAAATTCAGATGAGTTAAATGAGAATGTATCATCTATGAATTTCTTCACTGTAAAAAGATTTCCTGTATCGGGAGTTATTATATCGTGAAATGTCTTACTGGGAGTTAATATTCTGATAAATATGGAAAGTGTAATTGAAAGAATTATCGGTAAAATTATAAAGTAATATGGATGCCGTCCAACCGTTTTTCCTAATTTTTTAAAAATATGGCAAAAAATTCTTCTTACGCAATCCAATTTCATTTTGCCGTTTGAACGTCTCTTCGGAAAACAATAAGCAAAGTTATCTGAAAAAATGGAAAAAAAATCTGATCAGTTATCCAAGTTTAGTATCAGTTATCCAAGTGTTTATTATTGATTATTTAGCTAAAATTAACACACAATATAATTTTTCTAAAGTCAATTAAAAAACCTGTTTAGTTAGCAATTGTTTAAGGATAAAAAGTCATATTTAGTTTGCAATATTTGTAATTATTAATCATCAATTCAATATATATTATAAAAGAAAGTGTACAATGTGCATAGCGCTAAAACTCAAAAACGAGTCCGGTACGATCAAGGGAGTTACATCATTTGGTAGTTCTCTAACCCTCATCAATGATGAAGTTTCCCGTTTTTATCTGACTCACGTGTTGTTGAAGATATAAAGGCTGAAAGTTTCGCTTTCTAGAAATTTCTCGAACAGTCCAGAACATTCGAGAGTATTCGAGAGCATTACACAACATTCCAAAATGTTTCCACAACATTCTCGAAGTTCTGGAACGTTCGGGAACAACCGAATCATTCAGATCATAGTGGAACATTCCAGAATACTCTCGAATGTTCTGGAATATTCTGGAACATTGTGGATCATTCGAAGCATCTTGTGTATAGGTGGGACTACCCATTGGTAGGGGTATATAAAGCAAGATATAATAAATTTAACAACATGTATCCCATGGAATCCAAAACAGCTATGGGACTCCTCCAAAAGGAGTATGAGTAATGACATACTGTACCAAATCTGACAAGTTCATCCAGAACTGGCCATCGAATTCAACGATGACATTTTCAATGAAACACTCATTCGCCTAGAAGATAAATGTTTAGCAATAATAAACCAGACCATAGTACAACTTGCAATGTCAGCACAACGAAAAGATGCTTTCAGTGTGCTAAACTTCGAAATTACAAATGAGAAAAGCTACGACATCAACAAACTACTTTAACACATTGCTCACAACAAACCACTCCTCAATGACAATCAAAAATATTTACAACGTTATAATGGACCGGATCAAGAACACTGGCAAAATTATTTACTTGGACGCACCAGAAGGGACCGGAAAAACGTTTCTAATAAATCTATTGCTGGCGGAAATACGTGCTAAACAACACATTGCACTTGCACTGGCATCATTCGGCATTGCAGCCACATTTATGGAAGGAGGACGAACTGCCCATTCGGCCCTACAACTACCGTTGAATATAGCCGAAGAAACGATTCCCGGTATGTAAAATCTCAAGACGATCTGGACGGGTTAAACTTCTAGAACAAGCTAAAATTATCTTCTGGGACAAATGCACAATTGCACATAAAAATCACTCGAAGCCTTGGACAGAACATTACAGGACTTGTGAAGACAATCTGAAGTGATGAGAGGAGCACTACTCATACTCCCAGGAGATTTTCGACAAACATTTCCAGTTATTCCCGATTCAACACCAGCAGACGAGATCAATGCATGCTTAAAAAATCACATCTCTGGCCATACATACAAATACTGCGACTGACAAAAAATATGAGAGTTGAACTTTCGAAAGACGAAACAACAGCACATTTTGCTGAAAAACTTTTACAAATAAGCAAAGGCACATATCCCACTGACCAAACGACTGGCCTCATTGAACTCAACAGTGATTTTTGCAACATAGCCACTACTGAATACGAACTCATCGATCAAATTTATACAAACATTGTTCACAACTATACCAATCCGGAGTGGCTATTTCAAAGAGCAATTTTGGCAATTAAAAATAATATTGTCGACGATATCAACTTTAATATTCAAAAAAAATTCCCGGTGAGGAGAGAATATACAAATCGATCGACACGATGGTAAACGTCGAAGAAAGTGTCAACTTCCCTACAGAATTTCTAAACTGTTTGCAATTACCAGGAAAGCCATTACACTGCCTTCGACTGAAAATTGGATCTTCGATCATTATACTCAGAAATCTGAACTCAACAAATCTATGTAATGGAACAAGGATGATCGTCAAACAGCTATCGAATAACATCATCAAAGCCGAACTTATGACTGGAAAGGACAAAGGACACACAGTATTTATTTCCAGAATACCAGTGATTTCTACTGAACTGCCATTTCAATTTAAAAGATTGCAATTTCCAATAAAATTAGTCTATAGTTTTACAATTAACAAAACGCAAGGACACATTTTAAAACAATGCGGCATCAACCTCAATGACTCCTGCTTTTTTCTCGTTCAACTATACGTAGCTTGGTCTCGAGTACGAAATTCGAAAAATTTGTACATATATACCTCGGATAACAAAATAGAAAATGTTGTTTATAAACAAGTATTGTAAATAGTGAGAATATGTTTTCAATAAAATTTTTTACCTCTTATATTTTAAAGTTTACCCTATTATTACAACTACCACACAATCTCATATCAACTCCCTGAGCGAAGCAGGGTACCCCAGCTAGTATATAATAAGTAAAATATGAAAAACGTTCTTAATCAGTGACAAGATTACGGACGTATATACTTGTATATTCTTATATGAAGAATGAAAATATTAACTAGTTTTTTCGGAAGATTACACGTTCAGTAACACACATACGTAGTGTACCTACGTATGTGTGTATATAAAAATTATTATTTACATGCATACGGTTGTCAGAATTGAAACCTGTATAATTAGTTTTTATAATATTTAAAAATTTAATTTTTCATGTGATTATTTATTATTTTAATTATTGTATATATTTTATGAAATTGTTTTAACTCTAACGAGATACAAGTATTAAAATAAGCACTTTGAGTCATTTAAAATTATAAAAAGCACTTTGTAATTTTTCGGAATTTAGGACAATTGTATAAATTCATATCTATTATTTATTATTATTAATTTATACAAATTGTTTTTTTATTTATTGTGCTATTTATGATAAAAATCTGAAACATTTTAACGTAAAGACATTTAGTAATAAAAAATACATATCACATTTCTGCTTGACTATCTCTTATTTATTAATGATTACATATAACTTACATATTCCCACGTTTCTACGTAATGTGTAAATTATTTAAAATGAGAATATGTAAAATTTAATTATTTTTAATGAATTACAAATATAAAAGTAACAACTCTAAGTAATTTTAAATTATTAGTACTATGGTGTAATTTTTCAAAAGTTAGAATAATATTAAAATTTATATCACTTAAAATTATTAATTTGTAGAAATCGTTTACTATAATATTTCAGACTTTATCATAAATAATTTGATGTGTTATATTGGATAAAGTCTGAAATATTTTAACGTAAATAAAGAGTAATCAAGTAAATAGAAAAACATATAATTTTTCACTTTTAATATTCGTTATTTATAAATTATTATATAAAAACATTAAAATATGAAAATTTAACGAGCAATTATGTATTGTGACATCGTCAAAACTCCGGGTTGTATTTGAATCGTATTTTTAATTTATTTAATCTAAAATGTATGCTTTTCGTTTTAAATTAGTAGTGGTGGCTTGACCTCGTACTTTTCCTGTTAGGAAGAGAGTCTTTCTGGCCACCTATTTAAAACCTTTCGGGGGAAAATGTTCATATAACGTAACTTCCTGTTTTCATCAGAATTTCCCATATAGTTCATCGGAGTTTCTTCTCAATATCGTTTTCAGATTTTTTTTGCTTTTCATTTTTCTATCCCTATTTTTAGTATTGAGTAATAGACAGACAACAGTGGAATTTATGTCTACAATTTTTTTTCCAAATTGCAGCCAAAACATTCATGTATGCTTTTATTAACACCTTTAGTTCCCATCAATTTTTTATATTAATGTAATTAAAGATGAAAAATACTTAAAACTGATAAAAACGATAGAAATGCGTTAATTTTGAATAAAAAGCTGCAAAATTTATTTTCCATTGTCTCGCCTTTCTGTGAAATTTGACATGAATGAGTCATTGTTTACACAGCAGGATGACATTGAGAATATCTGGTGTTGGATTTCCTGGGACATTCTCATAGACGTCTCGGGAGAACAATGGTTTAAAGTAGGGCGAATACTTGCTGGCCGTATATTTTTAAATATCTTTAAAAAATTAAAATTTTTATTGCGATTTCCGACCCCCCCCCGACTTAATTAAACGTATAAAATCTATTAATTAAAAAAATTAAAAAACTATTGGAGGTCGTTTTTGATATCAGAAAGTAGCTTTTAATAACTTTACCGAAGAAAAATCCGTGTACTACAACTATAGAACAATGAATAAAATTTGATATCAAAATTTTATTAAAAACAATTAAGCGTTAATCGTGCGTCATTGAAGGAAAATTAAAATCGCGATAAAATTTTTTTGGGCGAATAAAAATTTTTGAAAAAATTTGAAGACAAAAAACATTCTGAAAATCAAAAAACATTTTGGGGGGCTGAAAGGACCGTGTTTTCTGTAACGCTATTTAACCTGCCCAAGTTAACTCGTGCAGGTTATATAGCGTTATAGGTTATATAGCGGGTGAAGAACTTAGTTGCTTCTAACATATACAGAAAAATAAATATGAAATCTTATAAATTGAATATCAAATTTAGCTTCTTTTCGAACATTTAATAAAACATTTAACATCTTATAACGCTGAGAATATGCAGAGGGCCCACGTACATTTTGGAAAAACGTTTACATAGATTCATATCAGATCAATTATGTAACAGTGATCTTGTTGCACATAACCCGACCAATATCGTTAAGGAGTTACAAGAGTTAAGTTTAACTAATGGATGAAGAAGTTGGGTCCATTATGAATTTCGAAAGCCTGTATCCATCGGTAAAGATAAAATCCTGTTACGAAGTTTAATCGAATTTATGCTCTGCATAAAACCGGAAGTTGGTATGTTTGAGAACGATTTGAAGGAATTAGCCAAGTTGGTATGTTATATCTTTCTTCAGCTATGATAAGCAGGTATACAAACAGAAGAAAGGCGTACCTATGGAAAGCCGAATGTCAGGGTTGTTATGCGAACTGGTTTTACGTAACTTAGAAAAGTACCTTGTTAATAGCTTCAAAAGATATGTGAACAATGTGTGCGTTATCTGGAGAAACGGCAAAAGAATACACAATTTCAAACAGGTTATTAACAACACCAACAACGATGGTTTAAAACTAAAACTAGAGCAGAAGAGTCATGAAAGAATACATTTTATAGATATTGACATACAATTACAAGGAGATTGCATAACAACGGGCATTTACATAAAACCTACGAATAATCCTCTCTACATACCAGCTAATTCGAATGACTCTCATAAATACAAAATGTCAGCATTCCGTGCACTCATTAGGAGAGCACGGAATAACTTATTGCTTTAGTATATTGGACAGGATTAAAGAGATTGACAGAATTAAGGAAGTAGCTTCAAATTTGGGTTACCGCAACAGTACAATTGAAGGGCTAATAAAAAGTTGTGAAAGAGGCAAAAGGTTAAGAACTGGAACAGATCAATTTAAGATCACCAAATTCACGTATAATAAAAACTTCGGGGACATCATGAAGCAAGTTTCAGACAAAAAACGCTCCAAAATTGTTTACAAAAGAGGTCCTAATTTGTACAGTATTCTCAGAATGGAAAAGGACAAGCTTAAGAAAGAAAAA